TGCGAAGGGGGAATCCCCAGTAGCAGTTTATTCGCCGCGAGATCAATCACGCGAACTTTATGAGCTGGATCGGGGTAAGTGCTGTACCACATCGGGCGGCCCATGCGCCTCAACGCCTCCCAGGCCTGACCGTCACTTCCAGTTACGACGGTCTTGTACATGGCTATCTTAGCACGTTCTTGCTGTTTCGTTTTCTCTTCGTCTTCAGCTCCCACCGCAACTTGGGTTCCCTCGTTTATCTCTTCATCTTCAAAGTAGTCATCCCAGTGTGCGTCCATCGTATCAGCTAGTACAAGCGGCGCGAACGATGCCAAACTACCTCCAGATTTCCGAGAAGATGGGTCCAACAACAGAGGCGGCGTCAGGTCCGAGATCTGCGAGTTCGTATCAATCAGCACGCCGAAAATGCCTCCTTCGGGGCCGATATCTTCGTTAGCGGATTTAAGAGCATTTCGCAATATACGAAAATCGTTCTTCTTGCCATCCACCTCAGCCAGCAGACTTCTCGCTTCATCGATCACCAGAACCACCATTTTGCCATCTGGATCCTTCACGGTGGAGGTACCCGTAGTTTGGATAAAGGTGTCCGGTACGGATGCTGAATCGGACGCCTTTATCATTTCTGTTTCTTTCAAAAGCTTGGCCGCACACGGAACTGTCAGTTGCATTGTCGATAAACAGCTCCAGCCATTCCGTCTGAACGTCCGCCCAATGATCTTTCGCATAGCAGTAAATCGCCTTCAATCGCCTGGCGACCTCTTGCACTGAGGAGGCGGCAGGGTCAAACAGCGAATCACGAAGCTTACTCGTAGCCTCCGGAAACCCCGTCGATCGGTGCACACGCGCGCACATGTACAAAACTTTCAGGTTCAAGTTCGGTTCTCGTTCTGCCTTGAGCGCAAGCTCACGCACTGTCCGACTCTTGCCGAAGCCGGAACTCTGCACAACCGCCACACATGGCGCCTTGTACTTTGCAGGGTTGTACTCTTTCCAGCAGTCCCGCAGGTATTCTGCGAGGTCGTCTTGGGCCTTGCCGACGTACGTGACTTTAGTGAACGCATCCGAGAGTCGAATCATTTCGTCTTCACCCAGCTTGGTGATGAGGGGGTTGTCTTCCGGAACAAACTTTGCCAGGAGGTCTTCAATCGTCTTGACCGTAATGGTTTCCGCAAGATCGACCGTCACGTCTGGGTGCTCGTATACGATCCCAATCTTCACCTCCAAGCATCCATTAAATTCTTTCTGAGAGACCCGGAGTCCCGCGTCGCGATATTTTTTCAAATACTTATCGATGCGAAGAGGCTTCTTCTCCAGTGCTCCCTCGTTGCCTTCCTTCGCGTCCCCCAGTTTCGCGCTCAACTGAGTGAAGACGCTGTCGTCCACGAATGCGGCTATCTCCTCGACTCCAGGCTGGAGATCCGACTGGCTCGCCATGTCCAGCAGAGCGGCAGTGTTGCGAGAGTGCGACTTCTCTTTAATGTAGACCACATATTCGCTTTAATTGGACATAATCACTATGTAGTTTCTGTTTTTATTGGACAAAAGTATTTAGGCGCACATCTCGCCAGGTTTATTATAATAACACATATTGTACTTTTTGGCACTTCAGACTGTATTTGTGCTTTGCAATGATTTTGGCAATATGAGGCGAGATTTGCTGTATTATTACGATCGCCTGCTAGATTTACGATAAATCGAGGTGCATAAATGGGTGGAGGCCTAGAATTACGCTAAAAGTGCCATAATTGCACTTTCAAAAGTGCAATTGTGGCTGTGCAGCTGCAATTCTGTCGGTTTTATCC